AAAAAAAAAAATTAATTTAAAAATCCCCAAACAAATAATGGTCATGTGATGCTGGGAAAAAAGTATTTATAGGCTTACACAGACAGAAAGGGGAAGTAAAGAAGTAGTACCAACCGGTGGCGCCCTCCAACCACGTGCAGTGGCAAAATGATTTACTATGACTATACGAATCACGAGATTGGGCTCAAACACATAAATTCTGAAAAAAAAAGCAAAAACCTTTCTAGGAGGTGGTACAGGGCCGTTAAGCCTGCCAATGAGACCCAGAAAAACAAGACCCCACGTTGGGACATAGTGGACCAGGAGTGAAGAAACAAAAACTGAAGAGATTGGAAGGAATCTTGGTTGCCGAATGAAATAGTTTTCACCCTCCCCCTTCCAAAAAAACAACAAACAACAACACCAAAAAACAAAACAACGCACCGAGAGTAACCCAGATTCCTCTCATAAACTTAAGACGATTATTTAACAATATTCCCCCCCCCCCCCGGAAAAAGAAGAGTTAGATCGCTCCTTTCACGAGCAATTTGGCTTTTCTTCAACTTCAACTGAACACAGGAGCAGCAACAACAACGCAACTTCACCCCCCCCCCCAAAAAAAAAGGAAAAAAAAGAAGTGAAAATTGTTGTGTTTTTTTTCTTTAAAAAATAAAAGGCTCGATACATATTCATAGAGACATCGGCAGATTACCGTGAACTTTGATCGAAAGTTGTTAAAAATAGACAGCGTTCTGCTTAGTCAGACCACAAGAACTGTGTTGAAATTCCACGACGGTACAATAAATGACAAAGGGGGTGTGAGTCCGAAAACAGAGGCGGGAACTGCTTCAATATCAGTCAGTCGACATAAATTTCTCAAACTTCCGTCGACAGATCGGGTCAGAGCCAAACGATTCCATGTACGCGCTCAAAGAAAGCTGTAGCAGGTTGCTTTTCACTCTGAACTACAGCATCTGCCTACACAATATGATGTGTGTCTGTCGTGATAAGAAGGCCAATCATAAAGCTGTCACGATCTCTTCTCTCCTCTCCCCCTTTCCTCACCCTCCCTAGATACTCCCTATCATAACAATAAAGACGAAAAAGTATACGTGATAATGACACCAGCAGGCCATTACCGGCGAGATAGATCGCTGTATATAATTAGAGATTTCTGGGTCCCAGGACCCCTCCCACGGGTATGGGAACGCTCGGTTCAGATGTCAAGATGCCACCTATCGATTCTTTTCTGTGCCACGTTGACCCAGTTTGACACGGGCTGGCGAGCGATGCGAGAGCTGGCCGGAACGGTCTCTTCAAAGCCTACCGTAAACACTGCTCATTCTCTCTCCCTCCACCC